GTGGATGTAGGTCACGTTCGATCGAATCACTCTAAAACTCGGTTTGCATTTACTTTGAGCAACTTTCTTTTAAAGAAAATTGCCTCTCCTCCTTACCGTGCTTTAACTACGTCTACATACGCTTTGACATAAACATCTTCCGAGATCGGCTTTAATCATACGAAGACTTTACGAAACTGACGCTTTTCATTTGTGCAACTTACATTGCTGCAAATCACCTTAGTCTTCTCTTGCATTTTCACTTAAGGTTTCAAGTTCAAATTCCTTCCGAAATGGATTGAGTTGAAATCATTCTCGTTGAATCGACTTTAATCGAAATAAGATTCTTGAAATATTTTTCGGTAATCTACCTTTATGTTACCAAACTTTTTATAATAGTAACATTAAATTTTACTTTTATAGTTTTTCTGATCATAATTTGATTATTTTTTTTCATTATGCCTATGAAAGTATCATCTTCCTCTTCATCTTCCATTTTCTCTATCATGAAATCCTCCTCTACTATTTTCTTTTTCTATTAATTTTTTTATCTCATTTTTCTAAGTAGAAGACTCCTTTTTGAAATATTTTTCTCCACTTTTTTGAAGTAGTCTATTCAACCTTATTTTATGTACTTGTAACGAACCTATTAGTTCATCAAATGAAAAAATAAATAAATCTTTTGACTCCTCCGACAACATGATCAAATTTCAAGGTTAAATTTCTTAAAACTTTTACGATAATAATAAAATGATTATTAAGATTTTAATTATAAGATTTCATTTGACAAATAATTTTAGTCACTCGAGAAAAAAATCTAAAACCGATTCATTACTTTAATGAACAAAGATTTAAACTCACGATAAAGGGTTTAAAATTTTATCATAATCACCATCGATGAGACTTGAAATTCATTTTGAACTATCAACCAAGCTCGATTTGTAATTATAGCTACTATAATTCTTAAAAGATTATCTCATGTATAATTTATTAAATAAAAGAATATTGTCTTTGAGTCATTCTTCATATTCAATCTTTATTAAGTCCCAAAGATTTTAAGATTTGAATAGAAATTTTATATTGAGACTCTAAAGTTTATAGAATTTACCGAGAAGATGAGAATAAAAGGTTGAGACATAGGATTGTAATTAAAAGCTATAATACCGAGTTCAGATTGAACTTTTATTTTAAAAATATTTTCAAATACATACACCTTTGCTTCATCAATTATGATCGTATTTATATAATCTAATGATAATTAAATCATCATCTCGTATTATCCATAAATAAATTGGGTGTAGGAACTATTCTCATAATAATAAGTTCTTGGATCACTTAGGTCAAATAATTTAGAACATGATTAGAACTATATAAAATATGATAACTATCTAAAATAACTATTTATGAACTCAGTTTCAAATTTTGGATTTTATTTATCCGACAAATAGAAAAGGATGATTTAGGACAGGAGACTACCAACACTAGAGAGTCTAAATGATACATACAAACAGAACAACTATCTATAAACACTGTAATCATAGATAACCAACCTTATTGTGGAGTTGAGACTCGTCC